TTTCCAGCAGCTTACAAAAAAACAGTGCAGAAAAATAAAGAGGTATAAAAACAACAGTACAAGATAAAACAGTCTAAACAATAAACTCTAGATATAGAAAGCAAAGAGATAACACAAACACTAGCAGCACTTAATTATTGTCCATTGATTATTGCACAACCCCCTTATTAAATAGCTATAGTTTCAGTACTTAACTAGGATACTCTGTTCAAGCTGAGCTACAGTGCGGCCGCTCTGGAGCTCAGTGTCTTGCTAATGGACAATAAAGCACAGTGATGTTGACACACGGGCTCGGAGTGTCCTTTTTTATTTTTTATTGCTCAAACAAAAGTCAGTTGCTGTTTGCTGTGTTTCCCTGATTAGATATTCCTTTTTAATGAACAGAACTTGGTAAACCTTTTTATTGCTTGCAGTAAAGAGTCTGTTTTATTGCTTAAGAGCTCAAAGCTCTTAAGCAATAACTCTATCCCTTTTGATTAGTGATCCACTGATACTACTCTAGAGCGTGTAACAGCCATCAGTGGTAGACGCTCAAATGCTCCGTAAATGACAGAAAGCAGGGACACTTTAAGGGCTGTTTCTTAAAACCACATGCTCGACTCGAGTATGCTCATAAACCATCTGTAAATATTGTATTAAATTTGAGGAAGTACTTTAATTACTGTGAACAAATAAGGCAATTACTGAGGAGCTGGTCCCTCTGTGGCAGCCTCCATACTGCATTTTATTGCCGTATGGCTTTAAGGCACACGTTGAGGGAAAGTCAGCGTTGGATCGTAATCGTAGATGGTATAGAAATTAAAAACTGATGAGTCATATCAAGGTTTTGCACGTCACTGACAACAATGACATTTAAAAAAGACATTTGTCCCACCTTCAAAGGCTCATGTGATCAGATTTTACACACAACTGACCCAATCATCTGAGCGGACACTTGTTTTGTCATCTGTTTTACCCTCATGCTAAAACTGCTGTTAATGGTGAGACACTCATTGAGACTGTCGCCCAGAGACGGTGACCCATAATGGTTTGTTGCCAAGGTTATCAATCATCTGACTCGGATTGTCATGGCAATCCTTGTTGAATCCGCCACAGAGGATGAATCCTGAGAACCTGATCCGTCTATCGGGCGCCACCAGCAGGTTATCGTTCTTATCCAATGAAATCTTTTTGCATCTAGCACCATCGTCCGGTCAAACTATTGTCCAGCTCTGTCTGAGCTGCAAAACGATCGGCATTCCCATCAGCCTCAGCTGTACGTTGTTGAGTGCTAATCTGCAGTTAACACTCCACTCAGATGGTGAATATGGTAGGCGTTACACCAGCCGGCTGACGTTGTTCTCAGATTAACGTCAGTATGGATGCAGAATCTTGTTTCCACATACCGGTTAGTGGAAGATGTGTCACTGAGGCTGAAGTTCATAGTGTGTAGCAAAATAAGTGACTTGTTTTTTTTATTTATGTTGTAAAGACACGGTGGCGAGCTCTCAGCAGGCCTACCAGGACGCCTTCGACATCAGCAAGAAGGACATGCAGCCAACACACCCCATCCGGCTGGGCCTGGCCCTCAACTTCTCCGTCTTCTACTACGAAATCCTCAACTCGCCCGAGCAGGCCTGCTCTCTGGCCAAGCAGGTGGGTGCATCAACACTTCGTTTAGAGCGCTACATTTGAATGTGTTATACAGGTTAATACAGGTTATGGACAGCAGCAGACCGCCAGTTCAGTCAGTACGGTCTTGTAAAAGACTGTCGGGATCAGGATGTCTCTTCATGTGAACAGGGACTGTTGTGACCTCGACAGATCCGCTCGAGTCATGTTGAGTAACAAAAAGTAAAACACGTCTGAAATGAAAGTTTAACCAGGAATCTAACGTGATTGAACAAGAGTTTGATCTTACAAAGCCACAAACCTAATCTGTGTGAACAAGAGTGAACTCGTCTGTTCTTCCCTGCAGGCTTTCGACGAGGCGATCGCCGAGCTCGACACCTTGAACGAGGACTCGTACAAAGACAGCACGCTGATCATGCAGCTACTAAGGGACAACCTGACTGTGAGTTTATGCCAAGAAGGATCTGTGAATGTCTCTGTCCTGTGTTGTATCTTAAAGGTGGCGTACGTGTAAAAATGTTTATAAAAAATTTAAAAAACGAAGCGTGATAATAGAAAAATGTTGAGGAATCTGAAAGTTACCGGTACCTGTTGAGCTTTGGCATCAGTCAGGGCTCAAGGCTTCTTTCTAAGGTTTTTTTTTTGGACATGTATAAGCCTTACAAGGAGGCTCGCAGATCAACCTCTATAGCCATATTAGCAGAGAAAGTGACCAGAATGCATTGCAGATGGATTGAGGATCATGGCCGCTATTAATTCCAATACATGTATCGTGAAATAAATGAAGACATGGCAGATAAAATGAAAATGGTCGCACCACAAAGCACCTGTTAGAGCAGTGAGGATGTGGGTGGATTTTAACCTGTTCCAATACAATAACCTTCATTTAATACACGTGAGAAACTGTGGCCGGTTTTATGTTAAATATGATTTTATTTTTTGATTTCATTGTGCAGATTGAAGTATGATACACTGTGTAATCGTATATACATTATGGTGATATCCCACAACGTGTACCTACCTTACTTCCTGCCCATTGGTTCCTTCTGAATCTTTAAAGAAATAAACAATAATGACTCAGCAGTTTCCTCAAACTGTAGATTTTAATAAATGTTACTCAAACAGA